CCGCACACAAATGAAAATGAAAAGACAAGAGATAATTTGAAATATTGGGGGACCAGGCGGGCAAGTCCAACTCAAGGGGAAGGACTTCCACCCGTGCTCAGGCCTCACCAAGCTTTTATTGATCTGGAATGCATTCATAGCATAGCCCTTAGGCAGGCGACCCCTGGCAACAGACTAGCCCATCAGCAAGGATTTACATAATAATAAATGGGAGAGTAGTTTCAGCTACCACTGTCTGGACAAACGGAGGTGGCGCCTAACTCCGACCTTTGCTAGGGCTTCAAAGGCACCCAGCCTTGGGGGCGGGAGGGGGGGGGCGTTCTCTGTCTATGCTTATCAGATAGTGAAGGCAATAAACAGTTTCCCACAGATGCTCTATCCACTAAGCAAAACCAGCTAGGGCAGGTCTACTTTAAAAAAAAAAAATGTTTTGCCCTGCACACCCCACACTGGAGATCAATCTGGCAACCCAGGCATGTGCCCTAATCAGGAGTCGAACCGTTACCTACTGGTTTATATGTCAGTGCTCAACCACTGAGCCACACCAGCCAGGCTCGGCTGTCTACTTTTTATAGTGTATATTTTATTGTTTATTTTGTGTTGGTACACATACAAGAGACTTACTTTTTGTGTGTATTTACTGGGAGTGTAATAAACTATTGGCCTGATAACGATATTGATGTTTAATTGTCTCCTTTCTTCTAGATTACATACCGGTTACGGCATCTCCTTCGAGCAAGGTGTGATGCTTCCCCAGTGACCAACAATATCATCCAATTTCACTGTGATCCTGGTTTCTGGGCTCAAAATATTATCAATTTAGGTAGGTCATTATGTATATTTTCCCAAGTACCATTTGTTTCTGGAACTCTTAATGATTATTATGTTATTGAAAATGTATTCCTTATACCCTCAATGTTTTTGTTACCTTGGTTTAAAAACATGGAATTTTTGTTAGTATTTTATTAATCTGTGTATATATGTCACACATGCATGAATGTTAACATACATATAAGTATATGGATGTTATGAAACATCCTCTGTTGACTAGGGATTAAGGAGTTCTATTTTTCATAGACTCTTGCTTGAACTTTTTATCAGAATGGGTTGATAAAACTCTTGACTTGTGACTGGCATTGTTATAGAATTTTTTGATACTTAGAATGTTTTCTGATACAATAGTATTTCCAATACTATTATTGGCTTTCTCTTTAGACTCAGTCATCAAATGCCTAATGTTACTCATTTGCTTTCTCTTGGCTAGGGAAAACATAGCTTTTTCTTTTGCCTTTTTGTAATAATTATACATATAATTTTATATAATAAATATAATTATACATATATTTAAGTTTCTAATTGAAGTGTTATGTGCATACAGAAAAGTGCCCAAATTTTAAATATTGGTGTCCACTGAATTATCACAAAGGAAGACTATCATCTTGGTAACATTAAGAGTTCAAACATCCTTGCAGGCAGTTCAGTAGGAAGTTATTTTAACTTTCTTGTTATATTATTTGCTAGGAGAAAAAGTCCTCACTTTTTGCCTACTCTCTTAATTTCTCACAGGGAAATTATATAAACAGAAATTTAAGAATTCCCTATACATTCTTCATTAACTAATATTCCCTTTGATGACATCATTGGGCTTATTAACTTTGTTTCAAAATCATCAAATATGATTGTGCTCTCATTCTGTAGGCTAGATTCTGCGTAAGAAAGGAAAAAATGGCACGATAGAGTGCCAGTACTCTCAGAATACACCAGGAACGGAAGAAATCGACTTACACAAAGCATTTATACAAGGGAAGAACAAAAAGAATAATGATAGAGTGTCCCCTTAAAGAAAAAATAATAAGATGACCCCTGCAGTTCAGTTTAGAAGTACATAAAGCTATATGTTTGATAAATAGCAACAACTGGAACTACACACAAACACACACCTATATGTGTTACTATATGTATCCTATATAATAAATGCCTAATATGCTAAGTGTCCGGTCATCCGTTCAACCAATCAAAGCGTAATATGCTAATGATATGCTAAGGCCACTCAACTGCTCGCTATGACGTGTACTGACACCAGGGAGCAGACAGTTGACCAGTCAACCAGTCGCTATGACGTGCACTGACCACCAGAGGGCAGACACTCCCGACTGGTAGGTTAGCTTGCTATTGGGATCCAGCCAATCAGGACTGAACCAGACAGGCCAAACACACCCTGGAGCCCTCCCACGGTCCCTCCCCGGTTGGCCAACCTCCTGCGTCCCTCCCTGGCCCCAATCATGCACAGGTGGGGTACCTCGACCTGGCCTGCGCCCTCCCGCAATCCAGGACCCCTCGGGGGATGTCGGAGAGCCCGTTTCAGCTGGATCCTGCTCGACGCTGGAGCTGCCCCCTGGTGGTCAGTGCGCTCCCACAGGGGGAGCGCTGCTCAGCCAGAAGCCAGGCTCATAGCACACTTGTGGTGACGGGAGCCTCTCCTGCCTCTGCGGCAGCACTGAGGATGTCCGACTGATGGTTTAGGCTCGCTCCCCACAGGGCCATCAGTCAGACATCCCCTGAGGGCTCCCAGACTGCGAGAGGGTGCAGGCTGGGCTGAGGGCCCCCCCGCCCCCCAGTGCATGAATTTTGTGCACCTGGCCTCTAGTTAATTAATACAAAGCATGTGTCTAAGTAACTATCTCTTAACCCTTATCCCTCTCTACCAACCCACATTCAACTGTACAGAGAACCTATCACAGTTATATATCCACACAAGTAGTCATATCTATAGAGATGTATGTATTTATATACACTGAGTGGCCAGATTATTATGACCGGCCAGATTATTATGACCACCCCATCAGTACTTCATTGACACTTCCAAAAATACTGAATATTGAAAACTTCCTAAGCAAATACTCTCAAGATCTTATTATTATTATTTGCATAACTAATTCACTTCATTGTACTGATGGGGTGGTCATAATAATCTGACCGATCATAATAATCTGGCCACTCAGTGTATATCATTTATAATACAAATATAGGCATAGGTAAAGGTAAGAATATATGTATAATTGCACACACAAAAATAGATATAGTTTTAGGTAAGTCTGCATCAGCAAAAATCAAATAAAGACAGCATCTCCTGTTTGTGAAGAGTTTGTGAAACTCTGATATAATAAAGTTAAATAATACTCTTTACTGTAGAACTTCTCAGAGCTGTCATTTACAGCTCTGTAAATTGTCGTTTACAATGAAATTTACATTTTAATTCTTCCAAAGAGACAAATTTTCCAAATTTGTTATCCATGGCTTCTGAGAAACATCTTTCATAGGGCAAGGGGAAAATATTGATCTAGATAAATATTCAGTTAATGTTTTGAGGATTTGGGTAAGTTCTTCAATGTCTCTGAATCATAGATCCCTTATCTGTAAAGAGGAATTTAACAATATACATAGACCTGCTGTCACAGTGATTAACAACCAGTAAGTAATGAATTATAGCCATATTTTTTTTTAGGGTGCATATACTTTGTAAATCTAAAACATTTAATTGAATCTATACTGTTGAAAAAATTAATCTTTGCCTTGTGCATGGATCAGACCTATTAGATGCACCCTTAAACTCTCTTAAGGGTAATTGTAAGCCACTCAAAATATTCTCTATCAGAAAAGAGTGTAAAGGTTTCCTGAGATTGAAAAGTTCCTTGACAGTTTGGAAGTTCAGCAACAATAACCTTACAAAATGTAGTATTTCACTATCAGAAAAACTTTAGAACTTAACCTTTTTTCTTTAATTAGGTTCTTTAGTAATTGAAGATAAAGAGAGTCAACCACAAATGCCTAAGCAGAATCCTGTCATGGAACAGAATTCACAGCCACAAGGTGGTTTATCTTCAAACCAGTTATCCAAGTTTCCAACACAGATCAGCCTAGCTCAGTTACGACTCCAGCATATGCAGCAACAGGTAATGGCTCAGAGGCAACAGGTGCAACGGAGGCCAGCACCTATGGGTTTACCAAACCCTAGAATGCAGGGGCCCATCCAGCAACCTTCCATCTCTCATCAGGTAAATTTGGAAGCAGGCCTGTCCTAACTTAGATAATTATAGTACAATTGTATTTAGCAACTCTGAAAATAACCAGGACACCCATCATCCATGATTTAAATATATGAATTTATAAAAATGTATTGCATTGTGGATTCCTGATTTAGCTCCTAGATTTTAGCCCTTCTCAAAAAAAAGAATTAATGGTTTATTTAACCAGTACATCTATTTTTATTACATTGTCTTAATATTATAGACAGTGTGGGGATGCAAGTGTTTAGAAAACCACATTGCATCTTAGAAACTAGGGCAAAATGAAATAGAAAGGGGCAGGGATGTGGTTCATTAGAAATATACCTTTTTCAAACTTTATTTCTGAGCAAATATTCCATGAACCATTGTTATTTTCACTAATTATGAAATATTGTTTACTTTTAATCCAGTTTTTTAAGATAAAATATTCATATCTTTTGTTAAATGTTTTAACTGTTCTGCTCAGTTTAGATGTGGGCATACTTAGTTTTAATAAAGGTTTAGTAAAGACTATAAGGTCAAATTCATACAAATTGTCTGTTGTTTTCAGTTATATATATATTTATGAATTCATATTCTTCCTATTTCGGAGAAGGATTTGAAGGACAGTAAATGACATGAATGAAATGGAATGAGGTTTAATAAGAGTCAAAGTGTGTAGAACTAGGCTAAGAATTCTCATACTTGAGAGCAAGCCTTAGCTCAAAACTTATTGTCAACCTAAGAAAAAGAAATAGAATTATCTATATTGTGTGATAAAAAGGAAACATATTAGTTATTTAGAGGAGAAACATTTTACTAGCACTAAGAGGAAGATATTATGTGAGTGAGTCTTTATAAAACAACAATTAAATGGAATAATTGTATTTTTGTGGTAATTTTACTAGTACAGAATATAAAAATGGTCTTCATCTGACTCTTATTTTAACTCTGAATAAAAGTTGTGGGCATATGTAGATCCTAATATTGTTAAATTGCTTCTTTGAAGGCCTGAGGTGATGTACTTGAGGTTTATGGCTTTCTAGTGATTTGATTAGGAAGGCATATCAAATCCAAGGGAATATTAGTATACCCAATTGATTATTCGTTTCAAACTTTGTTTTAACTCAGGTTTTTACAGGAAGTAAATAACAAGCAATTTAAGTTTTTATGGTGAGTGTTCTATTAGGAAAGAATTGTACGCTTTAGATATCAGGAGTGAAACTGGCAAAGTTGAAATTTTGTTAAGAAAATTGAGGAATAATTTTGTTACTACCTCTGTAGACTGCAGTGACATATTACAGATAGACTGCAAAGAATGCCAAAACTTTTTCTCAAGATAAATGTGAGGAGGAGAAGAGAGAAAAAATAATAACTTGTTGAGTGCCTAGTGCTAAGCATTTGCATAATTAATATTTATCTTAAGTGTCTGAGAGATGGTAAAGTGATTTTCATTAAGTAGTTTATTAACCTGAAAAAGAGTAAATTGGCTTTTCAGTAAGAAGTGAGGAACTGAGGTAGTTAATAGATATTATCTAACTTGGTCACATTCCCATAAGTAGTTATTTATATAAGCAATGACAGACAGAAGTGAACACTGAACCTTTAGCTTGTGTATCTCAGAAATTTGCTTTTGATCTTATTTTTCCTCTCTAGGACTTACTGCTACATAATTTATATAATGTATAATCTCTGTTATACAACCCAGTTTTCTCACTTAGAAATAAAGTAATTTTTGCATCTTTCGGTCATTACCTCATACACTGTTCTTTTCTCTTGACTCTCAGTAACTCCTGAACCTTCTTTCACACTCTCATGTTTCATTTTTAGCTGCTCTCTGCCAAACATTCACTCATATATTTTCCACTTACCAATTTGCGCACTCTACAGATTTTTACATTGCCATGCTTACCAACATTCTTCCTTTTCTACCAGTTTATTTACATATGTGTCGGAAAAATGATTGCCTATAAGCAGGTGTGTATATGTGTTCCTGGCTTTGTGGATATGTTCAGATTGTACCGTACATCTGTCCATAGGGTTCAGGTAAATTTAAAAGAGTGCTTCTTAAAGTCACTTACATGATTGCTCTCTATTCTTCTTCCTCTGAAGATTAACGATGTACTCTGCATGGTTAAAGAATTCGGTGATACAGAGGTTGAATACATAGTTAAATGATTGATTGATAAAACTTGATAGACATTGTGCATCTCTGTTTATTTAGCAGTATACAGTATATTCTATTACACTCTGATGTTCAGATCTAAGTTTGTTAGCACTGTCACATGTTATTTTTTTACATATATACTAGAGGCCCAGTGCACAGGATTTGTGCACTGGTCGGGGGCATGGTCTGCGGGGATTGCCTGCTGTGCGAGTGCCACTCATCCCCGTCAGCCAAGCGGCACTTCCACTGTGGGAGCGCACTGACCACCAGGGGGCAGCTCCTGTATTGAGTGTCTGCCCCCTGGTGGTCAGTGCACGTCATAGCGACTGGTTGACCGGTCATTCTGGTAGTTCCACCGTTCAGTCGGTGGGCTTTTATTATATAGTATAGGATTTTTATTGATTTCAGAGAGGAATGGAGACCGGGAGAAATATGGAAACATGAATGATGAGAGAGAATCATTGATTGGCTGCCTCCTGCATGCCCCCCACCAGGGACCAAGCTCATAACCTGCACATGTGCCCTGACAGGAACCGAACTGTGACCTCCTGGTTCATAGATTGACAGGTGCTGAACTACTGAGCCACTCCGACTGGGCACATACGTTATTTTATACATAATTCACATGAATGTTTCTCGAACCTGAGCCAGATTAACTGTTGTGGAAATATTTTCATTTTATATGTACATGTTAATTTTCCTACACAGTGATGGATTTTAGGAAGACATATGCTAGCCTTCATTTTTTACATAGTTGGAAACTACTGACCTAGAATAAAATCAAAACCTGCCCTAGTCAGTTTGGCTCAGTGGTTGGAGTGAACCAGTTCGATTTCTGGTCAGGGCATATGCCTGGGTTGAGGGCTCAATCCCCAGTCGGGGGGCGCATGCAGGAGGTAGCTTGTCAATGTTTCTCTCTCATCGATGTTTCTGTCTCTCCCTCTCCTTTCCTCTCTCTAAAAAACTTAAAAAACACTTATTTTAAAATAAAAAGTATTTATTTTAAAATAAAATAACAGTGATTTTGCTATTTTTTTATGCTAATAAATAGTTCCTAATGTTATTCTTTCAAGTTGCTTCCTCTGTCACAAGGATTTTAGAAATTAATTCAGTCAAATATAACAGTTTAGGAGAGGCAAGAAAAATCACCTCACATCTTACCAAACTGCAGGGTCAATATTCATTCCTACATTGATTGATTCCTCAGAGTACATTACTGTGGCACCAAGTATCTTGACTGAATCTGGGTGAGGGTGTGATAGCATGGTAGCAGAAGCTTCTACAACTACCTTTATTCTCCCTTAAGGATTATTTTGGGTGCTTTTCCACATTTTAAAAAAACTACAGATAAATGTAGGAGTTTTTCACTATGATTCTCCAACTATTTTCTCTTTGTGTTTCTATGATATAAAACCCTTCAAATCACAAAACTTTAGTAGAAGAATAAAAATTAATTTTTATTGCTTCAGGCTTTTTACTTTTGTAAAATTTTGACACTTATTTTTCACCCACAAAATTTTCCTTGGTCTTGAAATAATATTTAAATCTATTTTTCATTGGTTTTATAATTACTCTTGAGAAAGTTACTGAGGGTGAACCCAGTACTAATTAATTTGTAAGAGAGGGGGGAGAGAAGCAATGTTATCCAGGAAAGGAAATTCCAAAAATGGGAGAGGAAAAAGAAGACAGGGCTATCCTCTTTATAGCTCCTCTGCCTTCACAGAGTCAAAATTTAAGGTGTTGCTAATTCAACTTTATAAATTCCACATTCATTGTCCCCTGTGAATGTGAGAGTTAATAGTTCCCTCTCTGAGAAGTTCTAGTTGTAAAAATAAACTGTTAAGATAGCCTGCAAGTAAGTATTTGCAATATTGCCAACCATAAAGAGAATTGGATAGGCAAGAGACACTGGCATATAAGGTTACCTTTTTCTAGAACACTCGTCTCAGTTTCTAGGGCTAGCATTTAAGAGCAAAGTAAGCTTGCCTTCCCAGCCCTTGCCCTATCCTGTAATCAACCAATTTTGTCCTTGAAGGGTTTCCTTTCAAATATATTTTCTTTTTGGGAAACACATCCTCTAAGCTGTAATTAATATATTAACCCCTAGCAAAATAATAGAACACGATTTGGTAATAATATGGCAGACTAGATTTGGAGAAAAGCCTTAGTGTTGCCTTTTTACTAGCTGTGTGGCTTTTTTTTTTTTTTCCAAGTTATTTAAGCTTTCTGATGTATAGTGTCCTAATTTGTAAAATGAGGGGAGAGTAAAATGCTGATCACAATGCCTGGCATATAGTTTTATTTCAATAACATCTAAAATTCATTTACTTCAAAATGTTACTTAATATCAGCTATTTTCATTATTAATGATTTATTGGGTGAGAGTACAGACTTTAGAGCCAGAGTACTTGAATTCAAATCCCAGCTCTATCCCTTACTATCTTTAATTTTTGACAAGATACTTAAATTGTTTTTACCTCACAGGATTGTTGTGAAGATTAAATGAGTTAACACATGTAAAGAACTAAAGCAGTACCTGGCCTATAATAACTGATAAATAAATGTTAGCAATTATTATTTTACCACCACCTTATTTACGAGGTTTGAAGAGGACAATTCTTTGCAAAAGTTAATCATAAACAAGGACTGAGAACCAAAGATAAATTTTCCCTACTTCCCCACATGGCATAGGCCCAATCCTGGTATAACCTACTTAAAATCGGAAACCCCTCCACCAACGCTCTTAATAAAACTCCTTTTCTTTAAATTGCTTCTATACATTCTGGAAGGCTGCCTTATTCCCCTATTCCCTTGTTGTAGTGTTAATTATTGATTCAGCTGTGATAGAGTTGCTGTTTTTCTGTGAAAGTAATAAAATAGAGTGCTTTATAATTTTATCTTTCAGATTTTTGTCACTGAATTGGTTTTATTTCTTTTTTTCAGCAACCCCCTCCGCGTTTGATAAATTTTCAGAATCACAGCCCCAAACCCAGTGGACCAGTTCTCCCTCCTCATTCTCAACAGCTGAGATATCCACCAACCCAGAATATGCCACGGCAAGCAATAAAGCCCAATCCCCTACAGATGGCTTTCTTGGCTCAACAAGCGATAAAACAGGTATACATATTCACTTATTTTCCTTTTGCTACTTTGCAATTACATTGAATTTATGGATAAAGTAACAGTTATGAAAAGTAAGAGCAAGCTTTTTTGTAAAAAAAAAAAAAAGTGAATTACAAAATTTATTATAGACTGACTTATAGAGACAAAGCTAAGAGAACGGTCTTGATGCTTTGTAAATAACAAGAAAAATCAAGCCACTTTATATGAATGAAAGCCCAGAATAATCAGTGTGTCATAGGTATTGATTTTTCTAATAGTGATATATGTCTTAATATTCTTAAGACATTATATTCTTAATGTCTTCAGATAAAAATATATTCTAGGTATTACATATTTTTTTAATACCTTTTAGCTATTAAGAACATCCAGTAGTCTGTATATGATCTAAGTATATTATATGGAGGGAAAACATGCTAAGTTCTTGTGAGGTATTATCTTATTTTTGTGGGGGGTTTTTTGTTGTTTTAATATTACATATATAGAGAAAACCTGGAGGGTCATACATCAGCTGTAGCTGATTATTCTAGGGAGCAAAGGAGGACATGAGTCCAGAGAAAGGAAGGGTGGGCAGAGATGGGAGAGGTGGGTGGATATGAGGGGTGGGGTAGGTAGTAAAGATAACTTTCACATTCACAGGTTTCCTTACATAGTTTTTTCAGTGGAGCATATAAATTAGAATGTTTCAGACACTGTCACTCCATATAATGTAGGCCATATGTTAACGGTATTGTATTTGGGAATGTTTTCCTCTGCACAGTCTTGAGATAGCTCTTAGTTGTTTCCTTTTCCCCCCAGTATTTTATTAAGAAACTAGAGGCCCCATGCATGAAATTTGTGCATGGGAGGGGGTCCCTCAGCCCAGCCTGCACCCTCTCTCAATCTGGGACCCCTTGGGGGATGTCCAACTGCTGGTTTAGGCCCCACCCCACTGTGGGATGGGGCCTAAACCGGCAGTCGGACATCCCTCTCGCAATCCAGGACCGCTGGCTCCTAACCGCTCACCTGCCTGATTGCCCCTAACCACTCTGCCTGCCTGCCTGATTGCCTCTAACTGCTCGCCTGCCTGCCTGATCACCCCTAACCACTCGCCTGCCTGCCTGATCACCCCTAACCACCTCTGCCTCAGCCCCTGCTTAGTCAGGAAGGACGTCTGGAATGATGTCCGGAAGATCATTTGGCTGTCTGACCTAATTAGCATATTACACTTTTATTATTATAGATGTTTGTAACATAACAATTTGGAAGAGTTGTATAGAGGAAAAATTGTTTTATATGCTTTCTCAGTTATTATGCATATACCTCTTGATCCAGTCAATCAAGTCTTTTTTTTTTTATTATAGATTTCAATGTAGATTAAAGACAGCAGCATGGTTCATCTCTGTACACTTAAGCATTCCTAGTGTTAGCTTAGTTAATATATTTATCTTGGCCACTAACATAAATGATGCTTGATTACCTGTTCAGATATAAGAAATGAGTTAAAAAAATCTGAACTCTTGGGTCTTGGTCTAGTGTTTGATGATTGAGGTTTCACTCTAATATTAAGGCTACTAGCAGTGTTTATTGGGAGAATTCCTAAAGTCACCATCTTTAGGTCTTAACTCTTAGGCTGATCCATTCCCCAAAGGATCTTTTTGTCTTCTGCCTAAAATGCAGGGTCTGGCTACTTGTTGAAGCCAGCTGGGAGAAGAAGATAGGGAGTAAGCCATCAGCAGACTGGGTGAGAAGCTCAGCATTCAGTGTGTGTATGGTTTCTGAATCTTCATTTCCATGCAGTACTTCTGCCTGCAACTGAATATGGTGCTCTTCAGTCTAAAGACACTGATCTACCTGTTTTGGAAATAAACTTCTAGCCTTTTTCTGTGTAGGTGAAGGAAGTCCTTATTACCTTGGGGTAACTACAGGTAGAGTAGGAAAGAAACACAAGATTTAACACTTCTTAAGCACTCAGATTATTCTGTTTTTTGCCCCAGCTTCACCTCTCATACTTCCCAAGCTTTTAGGGGTTCTGCAGTGTATGTTGATTTGCTTCTCTATTTTCCCCACTGCCACCTTAGATTTCAGCTTTATCAAATTAAGTAATTTTCTATTTGTCCATCTGCTTTCCGTTTCTGTCTTCTCCTGTTTTCTTTGTCTTTATGACTCAGTGCCTTTTTAAAATTCCTTTTAACCATTATTTTAGTTTCATACATATCAGGTAGGGACAGCAGAAAATGTATGTTTTTTGCCCTCCATCTTTACCTTGAGGTTGCTGCGCATGTGTTTATATTTCTTTTCCAGTACGTACAAGCTTTCCAAGATTGGTACTGTGGTTTTCTGGTATATACTAACTGCTGTCTTCTGGTAAAAATCAGCGCTTTTTATTTTTCAACAGGATTCATGAAAGTTATGTATACCTATGCCCTCTCCCTCTTCCAATTACAATTGAATTCAAATTGCAGAATCTGTCTTCTGTTTTGTTTTGTGTCTGGATTAGGATTAGGTGGACATTTTATGTTATAGGTCTGCTGATGGACAACTTTTCTTTTTCTTTCTACTGTAGTGGCAGATTAGCAGTGGGCAGGCCCCCCCATCAACTGCCAATAGCACATCCTCTACTCCTTCCAGTCCCACCATTACTAGTGCAGCAGGATATGATGGAAAGGCTTTTGGTTCACCTATGATTGATTTGAGCTCACCAGTGGGAGGTTCCTATAATCTTCCTTCTCTGCCAGATGTAAGTATACAGAGAATTTTTAAGAATCTATTTCGAAAATTTTACGTGGACTTGGATTTGGTAAAAGGCATGAGTTTGTTGCATTATAGGTTGTATGTGTTTGTTTTAGAAGTTACTTACATCCTTTAGAGATATAACAACAAGAAAAATAAAAAGATTATAGACACTTGGCCATACTACATAATATCTTTCAAGGTGCTGGAGCTTAAGGTGTTTGTAATGAAGGATTTATAAAATGGTGATGGATTATGGAAATGAATGATTGTGGTGATGGATATGAAATCTAAGCTGGGAAAGCAGGGAAGAAAGGACATGGGAAAGAGTACTGAAGAGGTGAATTGCTGGAATGTGATATGAAAATATCAGATTAGAGAGGGAGGCTAGAATTAAAGACATTAGCAGAAATGAAGGCAAGTTTACTATTAGAAATGAAAACATTTTCTGTTACATCATACCAGTGCAAAACTACCTCTGATTTCTACTTAAGTTAAATATATTAACTCTCTCCCTAGCTGGTTTGGCTCAGTGGATAGAGCATCAGCCTGTGGACTGAAGGGTCCTGGGTTCGATTCCAGATAAAGGCACGTGCCCGGGTTGCGGCTCGATCCCCAGTGGGGGGCATGCAGGAGGCATCCAATCAGTGATTCTCTCTTATCATTGATGTTTCTATCTCAGTCCAGCTCCCTTCCTCTCTGAAATCAATAAAAGTTTATTTTAAAAACCATATATATATAATCTACACTAATAAAAGATAAAGATGCAAATTAACCATCACTCCACTACACCCACCAGCCAATCAGGAGCGAGTATGCAAATTAACCCAACTAAGATGGTGGCAGCCACGGAGCTGGATTGAGCAGGAGGCTTGGGTTGCCCCCGGTGATGGAGGAAGCCAAGCTTCCCGCCTGCCCTGGCCTGCCCTGGGCTCCGCTCAAGACTACAAAGTTTCAATTATAGAAGATAAATAAATCCCAGATACCTGCTTCCAGCCCGCCCTGGCCTCCGCTCAAGGAGGCGCTGAAAAAAAAAAAAGAGAGAGAGAGGCTAGGAGCTTGGGTCGCCCGGGGGCATGGCCAGCCTGAAAACGGCCCTCAGCCCCTCACCCAGGCTGGCCACACCCCCATGGGGTGAGGGTCCCTGCTGGGGTGCTTGCCCAGCCTGCAAACAGCATCAGCCCCTTACCCAGGCTGGCCAGGCAACCCAGTGGGGACCTCCACCCTGATCTGGGACACCCTTCAGGGCAAACCAGCTGGCCCCCACCTGTGCACTAGGCCTCTATCCTATATAAAAAAAAGGGTAATATGCAAATTGACCCTAACAGAATGACTGGGAATGACTGGTCATTATGACACACACTGACCACCAGGGGGCAGACGCTCAACGCAGGAGCTGCCCCCTGGTGGTCAGTGCGCTCCCACAGGGGGAGCTCTGCTAAGTCACAAGCCAGGCTGATGGCTGCCAGCACAGCGGTAGTGGTAGGAGCCTCTCCCGCCTCCTCAGCAGCGCTAAGGATGTCCGACTGCAGCTTAGGCCTGCTCCCCGCTGGCAAGTGGACATCCCCCGAGGGCTCCCGGGCTGCCAGAGGGATGTCTGACTGCCAGCTTAGGCCCGTTCCCCCAGGGAGCGGGGCCTAAGCCACAGGTGGACATCTCCCGAGGGGTCCCAGACTGCGAGAGGGCACAGGCCGGGCTGAGGGACCCCCCCAAGTGCACAAATTTTTGTGCACTGGGCCTTTAGTGTGTGTTTAGCTTTGTTATACTCTCTAGCTTTGTTAGTATGACTTTTTAAAAATCTTTCAAAAGGCAGAACATATTTTGTAGACTGATCTCCATACATAAGTTGATATTTGTTTTGTATTTTGTTATCCTACAAGATTAGGTAATCATACACACAAATATTAAAAACTTTTAATATCTTGTAAGATTGTGAAAGAATTTTAAAATTCTTATTATTTAGTTTAAGTTACTGAGATCAACTAACATTTCCCAATAGTGACATCATTAACCTTAACAAAGTTATTTCATTTTTTTAAAATAATTGTATATACTTTAAATGGTAGAGTACATGTATTTTTCAAACATAGGTAATATATAGGAAAACTTTTTGTCTCATTCTGATAATTTTATTTTAGCTTTTAGGATTACTCCACAGTTGTAAATAACTTTTCTTAAATTAAGATCTTTCAAACCCAATCATTTCAATGCTCTTTGCACTCTCTAAAAAGTACTGACTAAGGTATTGCCAAAAAAAATATTAAACATAAATGACCTTGGTACTTCCCTGCTCCCCCAACTGAAAGATGACCTACAAATATTAACATTATCCTTCTGCTCTTTTTCTCTGCAGTCCTCAGATAGAGGTGACTCTGTATTCACTAGCCTTTCTCAACTGAGATTCCTCATCTAAACCACAGAACAAGAAACTGCTTTGAGAGTCTGTTTTCTCAGTCCTCCTCAGGATGGTTCATAACTAGTACCATTCTAAATGCAGAGGCAAGAAGTAAATTTGTTTTATACAGTCTGTGCCTTAGGACTACAGGACTTAGTTCTTTCGTAGAATCCTGGTTGAGAAAGGTTGCAACTGTATTAGAAAATTGAACTGGATTTAAATCACAAAGACATCCTTGGAAATAAATGGTATATAGAAGCCTGAAAAATATTTGCATTTAAAGCATTAAAGTCTTATTTGATAGAAATTTATCAGTATTTTAGCCTGGTAATCAATTATGAAACATGTTATTTGTATACCTATTTTATTAAAGCAAGAATCTATCAGGGATCATTTTTTTCCTACCAAACGGTAATAGTGTGCTTAGGTGACGCTAGTGTTCTGGAAATGTTGCTTCAGCTTTCTGGTGCATACCAAAGCCTCGGTTCTCAAAGTATGGGCCAGGGACGCAGGTGTCTCTACAACCCTTTCAGAGGTTCCATAAGGTTTCCCTGTGTAAGGCCTGATTTTTCTTCATATTCTTCAATCAAAATCACTCATCAAAAGAGATTTAGTACATAAGCAGATATAAGAATCCCGTTAGCTGTTATTAAACAAGATGCTAAAGAAATATGCAAAAATGTGAAATTTTGCTACTTTTCTCACCAGGCTTTTTTTTAATTGGCTACATTTTGTTATTGTTAAATTAAGTATTAAAAATGTTTTTGCTTTAATTTTTAAGGGTGTGAATGACATACAGTACTTCTTCCTCTTGGCTCATGATTTCTGAAACAGTGTATATTTTTCCTACCAAATGGTAATAGTGTGCTTAGCTGACGTTAGTGTTCTGCAAATGTTGTTCAGTGTATTTACTAACATGTAACGTTTAAGCAGAGTGAAAGCCCTGGCCTGTTGCTCTATGGTTAGAGCATCGGCCCTTGGACCAAAAGGTCTCGGGTTCGATTTCTGGTCAAGGGCACGGACTTCAGTTGTAGGTTTCATCCCCGGCCCTGGTGCAAGCTGGAGGCAACCAATCAATGGGCTTCTCTCACATCGATGTTTTTCTCTGTCTCTCCCCCTCCCTTCTACTCTCTCTAAAAATCAATGGGAAAATATCCTCGGTGAGGATTAACAAAAAGGAAGAGTGCCAAGTTTTTGTTGTTGTTTTTTAATGTTTTTATTTTTTTATTTTTTTTTTATTTTTTTTTAGAGAGAGAGGGAGAAACAAAGGTGATGAGAGAGAATCATTGATCATCTGCCTCCTGCACACCCTTACTGGGATCGCGGCCCCCAACTTGGGCATGTGCCCTGACCAGGAATCGAACCAGCAATAAGAGTGCAAGTTTTTTTAAAGATTGTTATGGGGAAGATATGCATCAGAACTTCTCAAATACAATTTTTCATGTTTTAGTATTTGGTGATAATTAAACTATTAAAGTTTTCTTATTCATTTAAAGTGGTTTTTAACTTGCAAACCATGGATACCATGAAATAATTTTCTTTTTTTATAAGATTGACTGTTCAGGTACTATTATGCTGGACAATATTGTGAGGAAGGATACTAGCATAGATCATGGCCAGCCAAGACCACCCTCAAACAGGACTGTCCAGTCACCAAATTCATCAGTGCCATCTCCAGGTCTTGCAGGTAAAGTGGGCTCCTTTTGATTTTGTTTTTCCAGTTTTTTCTCAATTTGTAATTTAAAAAAACCCCACAATCCTCCCCCTTTTTGTTGGATGATTTAAAAGGGTTTGGCACAATTTAAAATTAGTATAGTATACAGTACTTTCAAAGTAGAAATCAAAGGTTAAGCCTCTGTACCTTTTCAATTTCAACTCGTGTGCAAGGAGTTTAGCAACTACTTACTGTTTTATATACTTTGTGTTCCAGTTTCAGTGTAGTACTAAGTGAGCACATTCAATTGGGATTAAGTACATAATTATTCATTTTATGAATGTGTATGATTTCCTTCTCTTCAGGACCTGTTACTATGACTAGTGTACACCCGCCAATACGTTCACCTAGTGCCTCGAGCGTTGGGAGTCGAGGAAGGTAAGCTAACTTAACCTTATTCTCCAGATAGAAAATCTCTAATTATATTTATTTTGCCCCAGTGCTCAACACACTTTGGGTAGTCAATACATTTTGAACAATTTTTTTTATTTTTTACTTTTAAATTAAAATAATTTAATAATTATTATGTATTACATTAATTTAATAAACTAACATAATGGATTAAATACATTATAATTTTAACTTTAAAGATACAAATATCTTTGTATGTATGTTGAAAATAAAATTTTATGATTTTATCATAATAGCAAGGAAAAAATAAAAACGTGGGATATAACACACTGTACTATATGAGAATACACACAAATACAAACAGGCAAAAGAAAAAATAATTTTATACTAACTTCAGTGTTTTCTGAATTTTCTAATGACCAAATGATTTTGCTTTAAAAATAAGTTTACATTTGTTGAAATTCTATTTTAACTTACTGCTTTGCTCATCACATGGAAAGAGCATTCTCTGAAAAGAGAAAGTTTAGATTCAATTCCATGAAAACATAGTGGCTATCTGTAAAAGCTTTTTTTCCCACTACATTTTTTAAATAGCAGAACATCAATAAATTATGTCCCTCATTATTTTCACACTTCATAATAATAAATCATTAATATGAGCCTAGAGTTCTCTTTTTCACTGATTAGAGAAATGGAAAAGCCTAAAAAAAGATGTTAGCTTTAAGAACTAAATCTGGCTGCCCAATTTTAGAGCTTCAGAATATTGAAGGCAGTTGTCTTTTAATTGTGGTATTATTTAAATTTATTTAAGTATCTTTTCAGATGTAACATAACTATTTAGATAAGTTAATATGTAGAACATTTTTTTATTCGTAAGTGAAACTTTCGTACATAGCAGGTGCATTTAAGTTATGTATCATTTATTGCTGATATAGTAGCTACCATTGCTGTAAAGATAGGTCATTATTCTCAAAGCGGTTATACTTTATTTGGAGATACTTAAGGTAGCATTCTTAGATGGTTATTTCTTTCTTTCTTACACTTATAGCTCTGGCTCTTCTAGCAAACCAGCAGGAGCTGACTCTACACACAAAGTCCCAGTGGTCATGTTGGAGCCAATCCGAATAAAACAAGAAAATGGTGGACCACCGGAAAATTATGATTTTCCTGTTGTGATAGTGAAACAAGAATCAGATGAAGAAACTAGGCCTCAAAATGTAATTATATCTCCCAACTGGAAGTGACTCAGTCATTGAGTGTCGACCTATGAACCAGGAAGTCACAGTTTGATTCCTGGTCAGGGCACATGCCCAGTTTGCAGACTTGATCCTCAGTGTGGGGCGTGCAAGAGGCAGCTGATTGATGATTGTCTCTCATCATTAATGTTTCTACCCCTCCCTCTCCCTTCCTCTGTGAAGTCAATAAAAAATATATATATTTTGCCCTAACTGGTTTGGCTCAGTGGATAGAGCGTCAGCCTGCGGACTGAAGGGTCCCAGGTTCAATTCCGGTCAAGGGCATGTACCTTGGTTGCGGGCACATTGCCAGTAGGGGGTATGCAGGAGGCAGCTGATTGATGTTTCTCTCATCGATGTTTCTAACTCTCTATCTGTCTCCCTTCCTCTCTGTAAAATATCAATAAAATATATTTAAAAAATATATACATATATATCCTATATTATATATGTATATATTTTTTAATTATATCAATGACTTCAAATAATATAATGAAACTGAGTGTAACTGAAAGGCACAGACATCTGAACTGAAAGGGCTTAATAAGTACCAGAACGTTAGTGAAAAAAATGATCAATCATAGGTAAAAATTAAACTTTTTGTTTGTTTGTTTTTGTTAATCTTCACCTGAGGATATTTTTCATTTGATTTTTTTGAGAGAGTGTAAGGGAGGAGGGGAGACAGCGAAAAACATCAATGTGAGAGAGACACATCGATTGGTTGCCTCCCACACACACCTCAACCAGAGTCAGGGGTTGAGCCTACAACCAAGGTATGTGCTCTTGACTTGAATCCAACATGGGACCCTTCAGTCCATGGGCCAACACTCTATCCACTGAGCCAAACTAGCTAGGGCTAAATAAACATTTTTAAACATGCATGAAGATTGAAAAAAATTTAATTTCCATGTACTCATTCTCAGGAAGCTATTTTACAGTGTGATTCATCAAATATGGAGTAGACCAAGAAAAAGAAAAACAAGAGCCCAGAAATGGGATAAAACACAGACCAGGGGCAAAGAAAAGGGTAGTCCCCAGTACAGCAGCTCCTTCACTATACTCTGTAACAGGAGGACAGAGGACTCCATAGGAATGTATGTAAGGGTAGGAAAATGTTTTGACAGCATTGAGGAGCATTTTATAACACTGTTGGAGATTGTGAAAATGACTTAGTGATTTGACATTTTCATCATCCTAGGCTCCAACATAAAATTTTTATTTATCTTAAAGTTACTAATAGCTCTATGAATGATTTTTTAAAAATCTATACTAGGTATGTTTTATGTCTAGGTATAATTTAAATGAACAGGTCCACTAAAATGTACTTATGTTTCCTATGGTTGACTTCTACACTACCCATCCATTCTCCCATTTCTGAACTCATCAGCAAATTCATATAATTTTTCTTTATTGTCCACACTCCCTAAGTACTAATATTCTATTTTGATGATGTTTTCCAGTAGAGGCCCATGTCTTCTTTTTTTTCTTCTTTTTTTTTTAAAATATATTTTATTGATTTTTTACAGAGAGGAAGGGAGAGGGATAGAGAGCTAGAAACATCGATGAGAGAGAAACATCAACCAGCCGCCTCCTGCACACCTCCCACTGGGGATGTGCCCACAACCAAGGTACATGCCCTTGACCGGAATCGAACCCGGGACCCTTCAGTCCGCAGGCCGACGCTCTATCCACTGAGCCAAACCGGTTAGGGCCCATGTCTTCTTTACTACTAGAGATTCTAATACATTTAGCAGTAAAGATAATTCTTTTTTCTCATGCATGTTTATAGACTCCTTTGAAGATACCAGGTGCCCATGAGAGAGCAGTCTTTGGTCTAAAATTACAATGGTACTAATTAAGAATGCCAGTTTTAAGAATACATATACTCTTACCTCCTTCCATTGCAGACCAACTATCCAAGAAGCATACTGACCTCCCTGCTCTTAAATAGTAGTCAGACCTCTGCTTCTGAGGAGTCTGTGCTCAGGTCAGATGCCCCTGATAGCACAGGAGATCAACCTGTACTTCACCAGGAAAATTCCTCAAATGGAAAGTCTTCGTGGCTGGATGCCTCCCAAAAATCACCTCTTCATGTTGGAGAGGCAAGGAAAGAAGATGACCCCAATGAGGACTGGTGTGCAGTTTGTCAGAATGGAGGGGAACTCCTGTGCTGTGAGAAGTGTCCCAAAGTATTTCATCTTTCTTGTCATGTGCCCACATTGGCAAATTTTCCAAGGTAAGATAGTACTTGCTTTCCTTTTCCACATTCTTTCACTATCCTATATAATAAAAGCCCAGTGACCAAAACAGCGGAACGACCAGAATGACCTCAGCCCCTCGCCCTGGCTGGCCCCATCCCCCAGCGGGGATCCCCACCCCGATCGGGGGCCCCCATCAGGGCAGGCTGGCGGGCCCCCACCCGTGCACCATCATAAAAGGGTAATATGCAAATTGACCCTAATGGCAGAATGACCGGGAATGACTGATCGCTATGACGTGCACTGACCACCAGGGGACAGACGCTCAATGCAGGAGCTGCCCCTGGTGGTCAGTGTGCTCCCACTGGGGGAGCTCCGCTCAGCCACAAGCTGGGCTGACAGCTGCGAGCGCAGTGGTGGTGGCAGGAGGCTTTCCCGTCTTCCCGGCAGCATTAAGGATGTGCGATTGCGGCTTAGGCCCGCTCAGAGGAGGCATGCATGGTATAGACATGCAAATGAAAGCTCAGAGGAGTCACTCTTTTGGGGTCCTGTGGCACATCCAGGCAGAGAGAAACTGATCACCAAAAGCCAAGCACCAGACTCTTTCCCTTCCTCATCCTGCGGCCTCAGCTCCAGACAGGCATCCCTGTGGCGGGATACAAGGAGAGCCCCGTTTCGAATCTTCGCAGAGACGGAATGCTCAGGAGGCCAAGATAATAGAAACCTAAAGACCCAAATGCTGGGGCCCATGCCACCAGGGCCCGCTCAGCACAAGGCCAGTAAGTGCTTGGACCAAGTTCTGGTCCAATTCCTAACCCAGTCGCGACCTGCCATTCTGGGGCCGCAGCATGCGCTGGAGTGTGTAATGGCGGGGGCGGGGCGCTCTGGAGGTGGAGGGCTCACCCGAACCCCTGGGCCCCAGGGGCTCTCCACCTGCGCGCCCTTCCCCAGGCGCTCAGCCCCAGCTGTGCCAGCAAAACCCCTTTGCTGGGGTGGGATTGCAGGGGGCAGGCAGGGGAGGAGTGACTGGCCCACGGCCTCTGTTTTGGCTCTTTGCACACATGTAATTAGCTCTAATTATCTTGGGCTTTCAGTTCGCCTACTCCGGGCCTGGAAGCTGCACCCGGGGTGAACTCGCTCATAGAGCTACTGCTCCGCCAAATGAGCCCTCTCATTGGGCCAGGGAGCTCTCTATTCCCTGTCTACAGCACCCAGTGTCATGTGTCTGTGTTTGCCCAACTGTCTACAGAGCCACCACATGCTGGATTGGGGATATCTTTGTGTGTCCTTGGTCGTGTGTCTACACTGGCCGCTGGGAAGGTTCGCGAGTACCAGGCACTGAGGAGAGGAGGGGTGGCGGGGGGAGAGAGAGGATGAACTAGTTCTCAGCTGTGAAGGAAGGAAGGTACTAGCGCCCAGCTCTCCCATTTGTGCAAGTCCTACATAAACGTGAGCCCAGGGCAGATTTCACCCTCTTCCTTCCCCACCCCCAGTCTTCTACCCCATACTTCTTCCTGCCCTGCCCCACCTCCATTCTGCCCCAGACCACCCAGTAGTACTGGCTCCAGGAGAAATGGTTAGAACAAAAATTTCCTTGGCCAGAAGAGACTCTCCAGGGAGCTGCATGCAGAAAGGCACTCCCAGTCCTGTACCTGCAACTGCTCTGTCCTGCCAAATGCCAATCAGAAATTGTGTCTCTAGAGACAGAGGGTAGCAGAAGTAGGCCACTGTCCTTTGAAGCCCCTCATCAGGAGGAAACTTCACCCCCCCTCCCCAAAAAAAGTTCACCCTGCTGCCTCCCTTATCACTTTTAGCAACCCTCCTTTGCCCCTTTCCCTGGAAGTGGAAGGATTGGAGCACATCTACACTAATAAAAGAGAAACATGGTAATTAGC